GAGATCCATCTCCAAAATCCCATGAGGCAACAGAGGCAACAGAGGCCTTCTGACAAGGGCTATAGCATCTTCCTCTCTCGCCAGTCTTAAGTCAGTCTTGATTGTTCCATACATGATTACATGTCCTCTGAGCCACTGAAGGCCCGAAAGCTTGCCAAGCTTGCCAAGCTTGCCGGCCATGCGCTGACATGGACTGCTCCTGTTCCGCGCCGGCGTTCCGCGCTTGCAAACGCAATGCAAAGGCCTTGGCCTTCGTTAGCTTGTGGTCGATGCTTTCCTCCAGAACTCTGGCTGACGAGGCGCTCGTCAGGGCGGCGGCGCAAATGCATCTTGTGGATGTAATCCTTCTATCCACTTACATTTGCATCATGGTGGTTCCTGGCATTGTCCCTGCTTGTAACTCTCTGCTAAGCTTCAGACCAGCCCAGCTCCGATGCACCAGCCATGTTGCCAAAAACAATGCGTGTCTGAAGTAAGGCAGCATTCCATAGTTGGATCTCCACTTGACAGCATTGATCCAAGCCTGATGCTGGTTACACAGGACGCAGCTGCCTTGAATGGATCTTGACTGGTTGCAACAGCCTGTTGCAGTGTTCGACCCTCTTTGAGGAGGGCAGAGATCCGGTTGCTACAACAAAATATAGACTTGTGCGTCCTTAGGGGGTTCACGTCTTTGTTAAGACCAGATGCGAGGACTCGCGAAGCGCACCCCCGCAGCATACGCGAACCATACTCTGCGAATATGATCCACAACATTCCCGAAGCATACCTGCTGTTGTTTAATCTGTTACACTCCCAGATGCATCGAGTCGCGTGCACCTCTTTCACCCTGTGGACAGGATTCTGAAAAAGCCAGTCCATGTTGGAGCAACACTTTGGGTAGGCGCATAGTTGACGGTTTGATTCAGCTTGTGGTCCCGCCGCTACCAGCTTGCGGGACACAGGTCGCATCGGAACAGTCGGACGCAGCCTGACCGACATGAAGAGTCCCCAACCATCCATGTGCGCACAAGAACCCCTTTCCGGCAACCCGTCTTTCCAGATGTTCTGGAGTGCAGAAGGGTGCCGTGGTTGCCCTGAGCTGGCCTCAGCCTCTTGTATCTCATGCAGCGTCACCGGGGGGGCCATGCGCACTCCAACCGGCACAGGTGTAATGAACTGGGAATAGGGCGTATCGATTGGGAAAAGCATGCCTTTACTGCCAACAACGATACCCCAGAGTTTGTGTTCGATGCCGAAATGACATTGAAAGATTTTACAACAACGCGTGGTCCATGTGGCGATTCCAGGACGATGACTAACCCGATATCCCAACAGTACCCTTCCCTTATCTAGCTGCCCACTTCTCGAAGCGGGGTTGCAAATGTCCGCAAACGTTTCGACCTTGGGTTCGTTACAACTGGAAGGGTATGCGCCAGATATGGGACATCAATTCCGCAAGAGCTTGCTGCCGAGATAGCCACAGAGGCCTCAAGGCTAGGTGACAGGTTGGGCAAGCGCGGGTCAGTTCTACTCGGCAAGCGATACATAATTCCAGAGGGATTTCCTAAATCCTATGCCATGTTGCAGTACATGAGACGTTCCCTAAGCTGCATCCTTTTTTCGTGCTGTGTGGCTTGTGGAGCTGATTTTGGCTCCGTTCAAGAATTTGCCCAAGGCCCAAGGCTGCTCCCAAGCCAGCACTCAGTTGCCTTCGTGACTGCAGGACTGCAGGCATCTGCAGTCTCTGCTTTGCAGAAGACCAGCCATCTGAGGTTTCACGCACCAGGCCAGGCGTACGAAGGCTTACGGCACGTGCAATGCAAAAGGCAACAGGAGGCAGTTAGATCAGTTTCTTCATGCCTTGTCCAGGGCCATGTCTGCCATGATCATGGTTTTCTCACATGCACTGAAGTTCCCTCTCATGGTAAGTTGTAATGATGATATCAATGTGGACAAAGCATGTGCGTCGTGGGGGGTTCAAGGGACACGCGCAGGCAGTGAGCCCTCATGGTACAGTCGACTGAGAATCTCAAGGCAGCTCGCCTCAACTCATGAGAGCAGCCAGCTTACATGCTTCAGTTGGTGGATCTTTGGCGGCCGACGCTGGCCACCAGTCATATCTGTGGCTGTGGGTTAACTTGGCACTCAAGGTCCTGCACTAACCGTCCTGTGGCTGTAATCCTCGCCTCTCTCTTATTTCGTAGATGTCCTGTCTCATTCCCTGCACTCATTCTTTCGCAGGGATCAGCGGGTGTTTCAGTCCAGGACTTCCACATTTGAGCTACCATCAGTATTGCGGACAGTAGGGCCATACGAAGGCTACGAAGGCTACGAAGGCGGGGCATAGGGTGTCACCGGTTTCACCGGTTTCACATAGTGGTTGTGCAATGGCCCCTTTTCGGGTCCAGGCCTGAATCGCCTGAATCTGAGGATGCCCCCTTGATGAGAAGTCAAATGGTTGGAGGGCAGTCGAGGGCAGTCTACATATCACAACTGACATCCTGGCCTCAGTTTCAAACCCTTATAGCTTGAAGCATTTCTGAGTCGAGTGCCAAGTCAAAAGAGTGAGTGGAGGGGAACACGCCTTTCTTTCTTCTCGCCCTATGGAGGGCATTATACATGGTCTTTCCTGGAGGCAGGGAGAGAGAGCTCCCCTGAACTCCCTCTGGAAACTCCCTCACTGAACCCTCACTGAACCCTCCTCACTGAGCCCTTGAACCCTTCTTCTACCCTTTCCGCGCCTCCTTCGCCTCCTTAATGCTTTCGATGGGCAGATAAGCCCTGGGCCTCTCCCTGAGCGCCCCAGGAGACCCCAAAGAGAGAAGGAGTCTCTCCTCTCTAAGAAAGAGATATCATCCAAAGAAAGAATCTCTCCTCTCTACCCATATCATCATCTTTTGCATGGGTAAGTGAATACTTCTCTGAGCTGGCCACGACAACGAAGCCTAAAATGCCTCCTGTCGATGGCTCTCGAGGTCGTACCGTGAACTCTCTGTGTTGGAGCGAGGGAGCGTCTTCTGCCCGTTCTGCCCGTTCTGCCCGTTCTGCCCGTTCTGCCCGTGACCCGGCACTGTGGTCTTGTGCTGGTCTGAAGCGGGACACCTTCCGGCTGCGCGCCCTTCTTGTTCCTGCGCGTTCTCGACTCGTTTTCCCGACTCGACCCTCTCGACCCTCACCCATTCCCCGCAAGTAGCGTTTGGCACGAAGGCTTGCAGCATTTTGCAACCGTTACAGGGCTTCAACACCTCGACAGGCATTCATGGGCGTGAGACAGAAGTCGCGCTTCTTCTGTAGCCCTTCCACCAATCTCGCCTCCTGCCTTCACCGGACATCTCCAGCCCGCGGCAGTGGTGTACATCTAGTTTTCAGCTGGGTCTTGTCCAGTGACCCTTCACCCTGAATCCAGACCTTTTGGGTACGCAGGCTTAGCTTGCAGAAGCATCTCTGCACTTTGAAACCCCAAAAGGCAGCAACTAGCTCTCCACCACAACGTCGGCGCCTCCAAGATGCGGGGTTTTCAGTAGCCTTCAGGACGGCCTCGTAGGTGCCTGGTCCCGGTTCCACTTGCGCGTTGCGCCCTCCCTCAGAAGCGCGCTCCTCATTGTAGACAGTGGCAGTCTTTCCCGATGGCGAGGGTAAGCGCTAAATGCGCTGAATTCAACGGTCGGCTGTTCAGTGAGAAGTTATCGAAAGCAATGCAGAAAAGCCAAATCGTGTCAGACGCAGATGCGCTTGACACTAGGTCCAGGTGCTTGTGATTATCTTGTTAGTAGAGGGCTGCTAAACTAGCGCCACCTTGGCCTCTGCTAGAGTCCAGCGCGACAGGCAAACAACACCTTGTTTGTACTGTCCACCGGACAAGACAGCGTGCAGCGCGGGCCAATCGCTCGGCAGTTGAGGCCGTGAGGCCAACGCACACCTTGCAGGCCTTGCGAGGAGCCTTTTGAGGCTCTCTGCCGACACAGTCTTGGCAGCGGCAGTAGCAGCATGCGTGGATTCAGCGATGGCTGGGGAGCATGCGTGGAACAAGAATTTCGAGCCACGCCGCCTGTGGAGAATGTGGAGAAGACCAGATAGACTCCCTGGCTGCCCAGGGCTTGTCTTGATGTCCAACCGACAGACGCCGAATTCCATGTTCAAAGAATCCAGTTCCCCCACCTTGCACTCCAAGACCTGCTGAACACCTGCAACGAAGAAATGTACTCCGAATCATGCGGAGACTTCCTATGTCTTGCAAGGGCTTGAGAAGCTTGCCAGGTTCCCTCATTGAGTTCCAACAGCCAATCCTTACCTGCTCTATGACGGCCCGCACCACTGCATGCCACATGTTTGCGCCGTTTGCGCTGTTTGCGGCCCCAAGGCAACTTCAACCGAGCTCCACATGCTCCACCAAGTGTCACCGTTACGCCATCCCATTGGCCCAGGCGCGCCGGAAAGGACCAGGCTGTTGACTCGGCCTTCCACCTTCAGTCGCCGAAACCAATGAAACTGTTATGAGACCCATGATACCCATGGTGCATCGAGCTCGGTTGAATTTCCTACTCTTGCAGTCGTGCAAAGCAGTACTTCCTTTTGCTGTGTGGGCACAAGAAAGCCTGGAAAGCCGCTTCAAAGATTGCCTCAATAGCCTCAGTTTCTCCAGGCTTCCCAAAAACCCCCACAGTGTGCAAAGACGTATGGCCTGAAGGCAACTGCGTTGAGCAGGGTAACCGCGGCTGGTATAACACGAGCCAAGCGTCGCCTTTTCAGGCCGAGCCTTCGGTTCGCCTTTTGCGCACTCAAAAGAGAATAAAGAGAATAGTAAGAATGCCCAGGCAAAAGCACTCAGTCCACATACGTCCTTTGGCCTGCGTGCAACACGCTCCAGAAAAAGGTAAAGGAGGTCTTCCCGCCAAATTGGCTTTAAGTTTACTTTGAAACGCCCCTTTCCCACCAGCCTTGAAGGCTCCTTTGGCCTCCTTTGGTCTCCTTTCGGCTCCTAGGCGACTTTGCCCTGACTCTGGCGGTCTGACGCTCTCTCATCTGTCTCCTTCTACTCCGAAGCATCCAGAGCATCTGGAGCATCCAGAGCATCGCGGCCAAGGCAGCAGTAGTGAGTCCCTTTTCAGCATCCGGAAATTCTGACTCTTGCGCCCGTCAGCGCTCAACTGAAAGTGGAAGCAGGGCGCGTCGGGCACATGCCCTGCCGTGGGCGTGAGCAGGACGGGCGGTGTGTGCGTGCAGGCCTCACAGGCCTCACAGGCCTCGCAGTGCGTCAGCTGCAGAGCACCGGCAGCGCGGAGACAAGGTCCAACGACCACATGCTGCTCTGCCTGCATCATTCCTGACTTCGAGAGGGACATCGCCACGCCTCGGAGGTTTGAAGGTCCTTCGAGTGTTCCGAGGACGTAAGGGCACAGCGGCTGTGCCAGCGGCTGTGCCAGCGGCTGTGCCAGCGGCTGTGCCAGCGGCTGTGCCAGCGGCTGTGCCAGCGGCTGTGCCAGCGGCTGTGCCAGCGGCTGTGCCAGCGGCTGTGCCAGCGGCTGTGCCAGCGGCTGTGCCAGCGGCTGTGCCAGCGGCTGTGCCAGCGGCCGCGCCAGCGGCTGTGCCAGCGGCTGTGGGCTCGCTGCGCGTCCACTCTGCGTTTGCACTTCTCGGGCTACCAGCGTTTGATGTTGGCGAAGCCGAGGATGGAACTCCGGCGGTGGTTTTCCGCTTGAAGCAGCTGCCGCTAATTTTGGGACTCTTCCGACTCGTCCGACTCTTCCCATTCTCCAGCAAAGATAGCAAGGTCGCCCGAGGCCTGCTCGCTGGGACTTGCTTGCTGCCGCGAAGCACGGATCCTGCAAAAAGGATGCTGTCGCGAGACTTCCGCCGGCCCATTGCACTCATTGCACTCAACTCTTCACGAACCCTGAAGCTTCTCAGAGGCTCAGACCAAAGAAGGACCTCGCGCAAGGACTCTCCCTGCCGCTTCCAGGGCACTGCGCTCATCTCTTCATGAGCTGTCGGTCCTGTCGGTTAGGCTGCAGAAGTACTTGGTGATATCCGCATCCCCTCTGGCCTCTCTGGCCTGTGTCTGATTCTCGCCCCAAATCTGGTGAGTTTGCACCGACAAGCTTGGAGCCGTTTTTTCGATCCTGGTTGCCACTCTACTCCTCCGATTCCTCCCTCGTGAGCAAATCTTGCAAGCACTTCACCTCAGCGCCTCTGCACGCACAGCGATCGCTGCGCCTTGCTGTGCTTCTCCGTCGTTGTCCTCTGAAGTCTTTCCTGGTGAGCGGGTTGCTTGATGGACACTGTCACTGCAGTTCCAGTGCCTGCGACGTGCCGTGACATGACGGGCTGCCCAAGGCCAAACTGGTCTGCACTTCGTCCAGCTCATCAGCGCGCAAGGTCCTGACATGCTGTGCGGGACGATGCGGGACGACAGGTGCGGGCTTAGCCCAGGACCTGGTGCTGAAGTGTGCGCTATGACCTGGTGTCAATCGCCGCCAGTGCCCTTGACTCCATGGAATGCTTGAGGCGAAACTGCCCAGTTCGCAAAGGAGGAAGTAGGTGCATGTTGGCGAGCTTGGGAGGCACATGTTCCCCCGTACTTTGAGAACGTGATGAGAGCCTGCTGAGTCAAAGTTCGTTGCAGGCAGCTGCAGACCACCTAGCCTTGTCGGCAGCCTTGCTGCTACTATTTGTGGCGCAGAGGCACGCCCTGCCACAGCCCTTGGCGCAGCTGAGCAAAAGGGACGAAAGGGACTAGTGGTCGGGCGAACTTGAAACTTACAGTACTCCCCCCAGTACGAGTCTCGATGTACCGCGCGTTCTGACCATCATAGGTGGACGCAAGGACATGGAGGACATGCCCCTGCAGGCTGGAGTGAGTGCGCAGCACGTCACTGGCGATACCCTCCTCTGCCATTGTCACAGTGTGGCTAACTGACAGTCAGGGCCCCTTCTGTCCTGACTTCATGTCCCCAGGCAATCCATTTTGCCGGAAGCCTTTCACTCAGTTTGGTTTAGACCCATCTCCCGCTGAGCAGAGTGCTGGCACTTGAAGGCTGGTTACTCTGGGCGGCATCCTGGACATCCTTCTTCTTCTTTTGTTCATGCGACACCTCGACAACGTAGAGACCTCAAGAATTCAGCGTATGTCCCGCGGCGCCACAGGCTACTGCGCAAAAACTCTCTTGTCGTGGCTTCTGGGCTGCCCATCCTACTGTCCACACGCATCCTCCGCATGGCAGCAAACGGCATCCTTCTTATTCTTCTGTTCATGCAATCACCCCGACAACGTAGAGACCTCAAGAATTCAGTGTTGTCCCGCGGCGCCACAGGCTACTGCACAAAAACTCTCTCGTCGTAGTTTCCGGGCTGCCCATCCTACAGACCATCACCTCCACTCCACTCCACGACAGGATCCGACGTTGAAAAAGAGGCGAAGAGTTGTGTGTAAGATGGTGTAAGTCTGCAGTGTACGCAAACCAGTCGAAAACTTGCAGAGAGGTCACACACGTGAGGCAGCCAGCCTGCTGGATTCATGACAGCTAATTGTCTCAAGTAAGCTTCTGCAAGTCGTTTCTTGCCCTTGCATTGTCGCATCTCAAACAGTGTCGGCCAATCTCAACAGCTGGCGAGGACACTCCAGGGCAAGGAAACCAACTTAAGGTGAGCAGCCTCTCGTCAAGACAGCTTCCGCTGCACAAACAACATCTGCGCCTTCAGTGCTCAAATGACCACTTGAAATGCGATCTGTGCTGGATATCCCCACCTTTGCAGCTGTTCCTCATACGTGTGTTCACCGCCTACCGCTGCCTAGAGGGGAGCTCCTCAAGTTGCAGCCCGAGCACTGCGGCACAGCCCGCTACGACATGCCATTGTCCGCTCCACTGAAGATGGTCTGGACCCCTCCCACGCTTTAACTGGGGCCCCCATGGCCCCCAGAGTAGAGGTGGTATGTGAAGTGATATCCTACAAGCGGAACGTTGTCGGAGCAGCATGCACTTCAATTGACGTATTCCAGTTTCATCACGTTTTGCCTTGATGCTGAGTGTTTCCATGTGTGGAAGGACACAGATCAGTGATCTTGTCTGTCCTTCATTTTTTAGCCGCGATCATTGAGATCCCAGGAGGCACAGTAGATCCCTGGAAAGCAGAATGGTACCAAAATAATACGCCACCATACCCTACGGCAGCCCATCATTCGTTGAAAGTAGCCCAGAACTACAGGCGCGTGGCTTTGCAGGTGGTTGAAGCAGCATGCACGCGGAAGCCCAGACTTTTCCGGGTCGGCTCAAGGCTGTCGGCGGGCCGGTTGAGCTGGATGCTACAGTAATTGGCAGGTGAGTGACGAAGTCCTGCTTGAGGAGGTGTTGGATTCCTGAAGAGCAAGGTCTTCGCCCAGCCTGCGTCTCAGCCCAAGGGCCGACATCGCCATCCAGTCTGGTGCAGATGCGAGACTGGTGTTGAGTCAGGTCTTGAGTTCTTGGGACATGGTCATGCTCTTTGTTGGTTTGGTGGGTGGGAGCTTGATAGCGGGGCGGCGCCCGATGGCGCATGCACCCACTTCAGCAGTGCAGCTGTCCCGTACGCACTCTTCGCCAGTCATCTGCTGCAGGACCCAGGCACGCAAGAGAGACGGACCTTGAAGGTTTGTTGCGCACTCCAGAGACCTGCAGCCATAGGTTGTTGCGAGACCCAGTCGCGAGCTAGGGCCTTTGAGGTTTCCTTTCAGCCCGTGGATGGTGAATGCTGCGCAGTGTGGGCATCCGTTACGGCTTTCGTCAGCCAATGCTGCCGAGCTGAAGCAATGAAGCAATGACAAGGCTCTGACAAGGCTTCAGTTGTGACGTTGGGGATAGCATCCGGGACCCCATTTTGAGCCGTTCGCTCTCATGACTCCTCGGAGATGCTTGTAAGGCCATCGCCATCAAAGCCAGCTTAACGAGAAGATGCGTGGCTGTGGCTGTGGAGGTGTGAAAGTTCTGCAGGCGACTGAATCTTTTCAGTATGTTGCTGCGACTCAGGTCCGACATTTCAAAGAGTTGAAACTTACTACAAGAGGGTTCATCAGCTACCAAAACTGCATGTGCCGCTGCGTGTTTGCTCCGCACTGTGCCCTGAGTTTTGGAGAGAACCGCTTTGAGACGGCGACTGCTGTGGCTGTGACGTGAACCGAAGATTCCGAAGAGAGAAAAAGAGTTGTGACCCGGTGTCGTTGCAGTGAGCTGCAGCCTCAGAGGGCATCAGAGGGCATCAGAGGGCATCAGAGGGCATCAGAGGGCATCACTGCATCTGTAGGTAACCTGTAACCAGGTAACCTGTAGGTAACCTGCAGGTAACCTGTAGGTAACCTGTAGAGTCTGAAAGGACTTGTGGTTCAGAGACCAGGAGCCCGCCGCCTTTAAGCCCTCTTTTGACTCCGTGAGGGCCACAGTGCAGTCACACGCAAGTGATTGTGTCAGGCCACCCTGCGTGCCGTTGGGGCCGAATTGTTCCTGTGACACGTCTTGACATCATGATGCTCCATCAGCCGAGCTGTAGAGTTTTTGCGCTGCAGCACGAATCCTTTCAGATGTGGCGATCCGCATCAAAGGATCTTGCGCCAAGTACTCCGGTGCACGTCTGGCTCTGCACTTGTGGGGAAGGCCGAGAACCAGCCGCGCGTTTCTGTGGAAGCAAAGCGACGGGGTGTCACCACTTGGTGTAGCCGTGTAGCCACCACTTGGGGCTTTGGCAGAGTGCGCATAATCCAATGACTGTCTGTGCTGGTAAAGACGGCTTGGGTCTGCAGAGTTCGCAGCGACAACCTGATATCTTCACTGTGGATTTCAGAAATTTCACCAACGTCTGTTGGACGACTTGTGCCCCAGTCGCCAAGCTGTTCAGATGGAAGCCTTCCAGACCCTCTGGAAGAACCCCGGTTGTGTGTGGCGGGCACAGCTTCCAGAGCTTCGAAAGGCCACACCCTAGAATGGTGCGGTCTGCCATCACACGGCTTCGGCTGTCCATGTGCCAGCTGCTGTCCCAGGACTGCGCTCGGGAAATGCTGTGCGAGCCAGTACGCCCTGTCGAAAGCATGCCCTGTACTGTTGGCATATATGACGTAAGCTATGAGGATTCGTAGCCTTCACGCACGGCACCAGGGAGGAACGTTGAACTTCTTTGTGCCCAAGGTCCGTCGCAGCAAGGCAGTGGAGACATGCCGTCCACTGCCCAATGCCATAAGCACTAGCTGTGCTAGCTGTGCTTAGCTGTGCTTGCTCCATCGCAGTGGCAAGGATGCTCCATTGAATCTGTTTGGGATTGCCTGGCTGCCCTTCTCCAGTGGCATCTTCGACTGTTTCCTTGTAGCCGTGGGCATCGTCGTGGATCTCACGAATCTCACGAATCTCACGATCGCCCTGAGTCGGCCCATGGCACGTGTCCGGATCGCTGACGTAGCCATTGGCTGATGCGGCCCTTTCCGAAGCCCAGCGGTGGATCCCGTTTCGTGGAAACACCCCGCCAAGCCTGAGAGCCTGAGCACCAATTGGGATGGTGCTTCCGAGCATTCTGCAGCAGATTCTGCAGATTCTGCACTCAGCCATTCGCCAGCCAGATTCGGCCAGCCAGATTCGGCCAGGCAGATTCGGCCAGGCATTCGCCGGCATCCTCCAGCATCCGGCCGTCTCTCCGTCCAGCATCGTCCTGTCGCATCTAGAGCTGCCCTGTCTGCCCTGTCTGCCCTGTCGGTGACCTGCAGACAAAGTCGAAGCCGCACGGAGACCTGGCTTCT